TACTGTATAAATGTGCTATTTATTGGTGTCCGACATGTATTAAATATTTAAGGACTGGAACCTAATGAGACTCTTGACTTTATTGCGCTATGTAGCGTATTCTCGAAACTTCCTGAACACAAAACCCAGTACAGTTCGAAGTCCAAAGATTTTTCAGGTCTGTAACCCTGAAAGGAATTCAGTAAGATTTACAGAAGTTGCAGAATTATGTAAAAAAAAATATTAAATTCCACTGATGTTGATGAAATGAAATTATAATGAATTTATGCAGGGCTGCGGACAGGATTTGTGAGACTGAACAATTTTCCAGTAGGAATTTATACACTACAAATTGTGAAGGCGTTCCTTGATCGTTGTGGGCTCCCTGAATTTAGTCGAAGTTTTCCTTCTCTATCGGTGGCACTGACTTTATGGTTGAATCATCAGGTGTAATTTCGCGCTCAAAATGTTTTTTTTAAGAACACATGGTGAGCGGTTTTGACATGTTATGAAACATCGACGGAGGATTCAAGCTTGAACATCGTACAGCATCATCCGATCAACAAACCGTGACAAACATTTAACAAAACAATCTGCCTAATATCTTTCAGTATGTCTAAACAAGGACCAGAATTGGGATTAAAAAAACAACACAAACGCCGATAATTCCATGCAACTAGTTTCGCATATAATATATGCTTCTTCAGGCACAAAATGTTTTGAAATAAACGGATGACGTCTTTACAGGCTAAAATAACAATTACGTCATAAATATTGGAGTCTCCTAAACTTATCAAATAAAAACAGCGTAAAATCCCTTTACAACAATAAGCCTATTGTTGCTTATAAAAGACCCAAGAATTTGCAAGATTTTTTAATTAGAACTAAACATACAGAAAAAAATAAAAAGGACAATTCCCGTCATCTAAATGTAATAGACATCGATGCTCTCAATGTGCAAACATAAGAGAAAGTAATTTTTTTAGTAGCGCTAACACAAAAGAGACATTTTCCCTACGTTTTAACACTAACTGCATATCAACTAACGTGATTTATTTGATAACCTGTCTAAAATGTAATATGCAATATGTTGGACAAACACTTCAACAAGTTTCTAAAAGAATGAATAGTCATCGCTTTCATATTAAAAATTATAAAGATCCTCAGTTTTCATCTAATATTTCTACACATTTTAACACCCATAATCACTGTCTACTCGATTTTTCTTTCATGCCAATAGATATTGTGCATGGAGACATGAACAGACTTATAAAAGAGACTTATTGGATACATAAATTAGATACTTTGTATCATAATGGCCTTAATACCTATGTATTATATAAAATTGTATAATTTTCTTTTCAATTGTGAAATTGTATATCTTTTATAACACTATAATTGTATGTATGACTGTTTGTCTCTATTATATTTTATTATTTTACTAAACAAGGACCAGAGATATCTAGTAACCTCTCATACTTTGGAATGCTCAGTGAAACGTCGTGTTCGGAACATTTATTTGCCTTACACTCGCTGACATTTCAAGGTCAATGATAATTGAATGGATAGAAATTTGTTTTATGTGATCGTATTCATAGCAATTATGTAAATTTCCACCCAAATGTGTTCTTGTATACGACAGATATAGCCACGTGTAGGCGGCAATTAGCTATGCATGACAATATATGCAAATCAGTGTCAAAAACAGAGCACTGTCTTTATTAGTATTCCCATAAAAAATAAGAATTATGATGTAGCCTACCGTTTATTATCGCTTATAAGTCAAATTCAACTGCAAACAACTTTGACCGTTATCTGCCGTCGCATAATGCGACTGCAGATCAGGTATGCGTTGCTTCTTGAACTGTTTATTCATAACAAGCTACATCGAGCCAGATCTTTCAGAAGTTGTTTGCCTTGTGTCGGTGCAGTTTGTAATCTGATTTAAGCGAGAATAATGCTAATTTGCAGACGAGCAATAGCTCTCGTATTCGGATTAGTGGAATGTTATTTCTCTTGTGTTGTTAAGGTGATGTTAGTTATGAAGTCATTTTGGTGATTTATATCCAAGATTGAGTTATGGTAAATGACGATTTATTTTTATATTATCTTTCATAAATATAGGATTTGACTGGGACAATAAAAAAGTAGTTTCTTCGTCGTTTAATTAGGCACTAAATAAAGTAAAGGATAACTCAAGAAGCGAGATCTTTTTCATTTTTACAAATCATGGCAGTTATGATTTCCTTTTTATATCGACTACTTTGTCTTCTTTCAGTTCACTAAGATCATACACAGTTCATTGGGTGGAATGTCTCGTGATACATTTCATATTTCTATGGGTGGAATAATTGATGATACATTTCATATTTATGTTGGTAGGAGATCTCATCATGATACATTGTAGAGGTTTTTATTGTCATTAATTGTGCAAGAATTTCGAGAAATATAATAGGTATTAGTATAAATAACACTAATATATGTTTTGCCTTAAGAATTGCAAAGTAGTATTTTCAATGTAGTAAATATTATTTTGTGAACAAAAATTACTATTTATGTTAAAAATAAATATATCCTAATAGTTTTGTAACTATCTGCATATGTCAACTTTTTCATCCAACTGCAACCAATTTCCGACATACAATATAGCTCAAAGTAAAACAAAAACAAAGAAAGAAAGAAAAAGCTGCAATCAATATGTGAGTTTGTTTTGTTTACGTTTTGGTTTTGTTTGTTTTCTTTTGAAGCTGATACCCGTTTAAAGTAGCAATTGCATCAGGTTACTGTGATAATTTTGTTTTGACAAGTACTTCCTATTAGGGGCGAACAAGACTAATGAAAGTTATGGATGAATTAGGGGCTAACAAGACTAATAAAAGTTATGTATGCATTAGAGGCTAACAAGACTAATAAAAGTTATGGATGAATTAGGGGCGAACAAGACTAATAAAAGTTAGGGATGAATTAGGGTCTAACAAGACTAATAAAAGTTTGCGATGAATTAGGGGCTAACAAGACTAATAAAAGTTAAGGATGAATTAGGGGCGAAGAGGGCTAATAAAAGTTAGAGATGAATTAGGGGCGAACAAGACTAATAAAAGTTAGGTATGAATTAAGGAAGAAACAATGCTAATAAAATTTAGGGATGAATTAGGGGCGAACAAGACTAATAAAAGTTAGGTATGAATTAAGGAAGAAACAATGCTAATAAAATTTAGGGATGAATTAGGGGCGAACAAGGCTAATAAAAGTTAGGGATGAATTAAGGGCGAACAAGACTAATAAAAGTTAGAGATGAATTAGGGGCGAACAAGACTAATAAAAGTTAGGGATGAATTAGGGGCGAACAATGCTAATAAAGTTAGGGATGAATTAGGGGCGAACAAAGCTAAAAAAAATTAGACGCTATGTTGCCAGTGGCTTAACTACCTTGGTAGCAGGGGCCCAGTCCAACCAGGAAAAATATATATAAAAAGTGAAGTGATAGTAAGGGTGGTGGTGGTAAATAGCTGGTATAAAATATGTGTTGTAGGGCCAGTGGTGAGAAGTTACGATGCTGCTTGTTACCATTTATTTTCTTCAAATGAAAAATATAAGTTGTAAAATCTAAAATTGGAATTGTATCTCTATTTATAATTAGAGTCACATTTTCTTTCATTTAGGAATGATTATTCGAATCAGCGGCGTAGCATGAAATTCTGTTCCTCACATCCCCTCTTAAAACCTCAGTAAAATGTGTTCTTTGATGGAAATTATGGGCCTCCTCTTCCCTCCCCACATGCCGCGAGGCTTGCTGGGGCATATGCAATACTATTAGTTCCATACATCTATAAACTAAAATTTTGTTTCAAAATGTTTGATTACAAATTAAATAACGAAAAAGGAATTTAAAACTGCACATATTACAGACGCAGAAAAGTAATATTGCTTACAATGTACTCTTGCTGGAGCACATGCAATACTATTAGTTCCATACATCTATAAACTAAAATTTTGTTTCAAAATGTTTGATTACAAATTAAATAACGAAAAAGGAATTTAAAACTGCACATATTACAGACGCAGAAAAGCAATATTGCTTACAATGTACTCTTAGCATTTTATGAAATGTTATTGAAATCATTGTCACAATAGGAAACGTGAAGGCTTTAAGGGATAATTCACAAATATTGTCTTACTTGTTATCTATGGTTATTTGATTTTAGGATAAAAATAACTAAAGAAAAACCACCATCTCAGTAGCATAGAAATTACGATGAGGCAAATATTATATAAAATGAATTATATAGTGAATGACACATTAGTGTTTTGTTGTGCCCAAGATGAGATTGCTCCAAACCGCCTTGGATGAATTAAGTATTTTACCACCGCTAACAAGGAAGTATTTAAAGTCGACGTAGGAGGAATGATAAACGAGGTACAATGTTCAACACTCAGAGTGATATGTGCAAGATTCATGCTAATCGTGACGTCCGAAAGTCAAATAAACTTCATAATTTAAATATATAATTTTAATATACCTGTTAAAACTCGTTTTCCAGTAATTACAAGCATTGGCTAGAACGTTCTACATCGTAAGGTGTTGTTATCTTCCATAGTTCTCAATATTCCAGGAATATGTTAAAACACTTGACTATTTCAGGATCAAATTTTTTGTGGGGAAATGAAACAGAATACAAAATTCGGTCTAGGCGCGCGTGTTCGTGTCTTTGATAAAGAATACCATTCATTAAATTTAATCGAAAATGTCATTAGACCAAGTGTTTCGCATACATACATTAATGTTTGTGATCTAGGTTTCTAACGTAGCTTTAACAATTTTGTAGTTATATGGCTACGATATATGCAGTGTGGCAGTTTATAGTGATGTCTAGCACTGGGGCATCAAGCCGCAATGTAGCATGATGTCCATCCAGTCAAATTATCCTGACAACAGGCCGGCCAGTCCTAACACTAACCTCTTAATGCTGAGCGCCAAACGAGGAAGCTGTTCGTACAATTTTTTAAAAAAATCTTTGGTATGACTCGACTGGGGTTCGAACCTGCGACCTCCCGCATCCAAAGGCGGACGCCCTAACCACTAAGCCAGCGAAGCGGTCTACACATCAATGTATATTCTGACTTACCAGCACGGTACATAATAGGTCTAATTATTTTTAAAAAAGCAACATTTTCTCTTTAGATTTTGTTAATTCTTTTTTTTTTGGTTTCAGAGCTAGATTAAAGATTAATTTAATTCAGCATATTTGATATGCCGATATGTACATCCATATATTTTCTTTCTAACATTTAGACCGGAACTATTTACCAAATGCATATCATCCATGTCATGTGCATTATACTTCAAGAAATCAAGCATTTGGAAAATATTTAATTTAATGCTTTAATTTAATTTAATATTTGTGCAATTCAGCAAAACCATGTTTTAGAAACGGTATGTAATTTAAAACCAAAAGTTCTAACGGTGTGTGTATTTAATTCGCAAAATGAACCGTTGTAGGCATTAGTCTAAATGTTTGCTAGTCGATATTTCTAATATCCCAAAATGAAATTTTAATGTCAAGGAACTTTATGCTCTATTGATACTGTGAATAAAGTAATATTGTCAATAGTAAAAATTGGTATTCAGTAAATATTAAAATACCATAATAGTGTGTTCCTTGTCTTGGGAATGATCTTATTTGTCTCTATTCATCATCCACACCGTACTCACACTCCGTATCAACAATTTTTGTTTCCCAAAAACGTTAAACAACATGTATAAATTTGTAGAATCATTTACAACACTTAAGATGAATTGTATTTAATTACTCACGAAGACCTTTATACAATTCGTTTGATTGTTTACAAGCAATTTTGACCATAATATGAGAAGATTAAAAAAGGAAATTTTAAAATAAAGTATAAGAGAGATTCATTTCACAAACCGGTGTGTGTATCAGACGTAATACAGTTCCATGTAAAGAATACAAAATATGTGAAAACACTGAATCGGACGAGTTAAACTAATGCAGTCATTAAAAGAATACAAAATATGTGAAAACACTGAATCGGACAAGTTAAACTAATACAGTCAGACTTTAGAGGTTTCTATTGAAGTATACATATAGATATAATTTTCTGTACAAAACACCGTCTTTCCATGATCTACTTACTGTCGCATAGTACACCGACAGGTCAGGACATATTTGTTCTGCTGATCCATAAAAACTACATGCCAGATCTGCGAAGCCATAATGCGATGGAAGATCTGAGTTTATGCCGTTTGGTCATTATCTACGGTCATGGAGCAAGAACGAAAAAAAAAAAAAAACGTGTTTTCCTGTTTTATTGTTCGTTCTGCTAATTTCTGCTAATTCGTTCCTCCCAAAATGCATAGACCCAGATCTGCCGGCACACGATGGCAGATCAGGGTATATGCGGTCTGTTGTTGGATTAGATTTATATATATATATATATATATATATATATATATATATATATATATATATATATATATATATATATATATATATATATATATATATATATATATATATATGGTCATATAACAAAATTAGAAAGCGAATAATGTCCCTAAAAATACTAAACCTGTTTAATGGCACTACCTCCTTAGAGCAGTTAAAATATGTACCAATAAAAAAGGCATTGCGCCCAACGTGTTTCAAGCATATGTTGCATTGTCTATAAATCTGAAACTAATTTCCATTGATATTCCATGAAAATGAATTATGTCATGAAGTTGTGAATATAGTGACGATGGGAGATCTACATTGAAACACGTTTCCATCACTAAAATCAAGATTTCTAAGACAGAAGGAATAGGGAAAAAGAAAGATATGTAAACATAGGTTGATGTTTCTTACTTCACACTAATAGAGGCCTTGGGTTGATGTTTCTTACTTCACACTAATATGAACTTAGGTTGATGTGTCTCACTTCGCACTAATATGAGCTTCGGGTTGATGTGTCTTACTTCACAGTATTACTTCACACTAATATGAACTTAGGTTGATTTGTATTACTTCACACTGATATGAACTTAGGTTTATGTGGCTTACTTCACATTAATATAGGCCTTGGGTCTATGTGTCTTACTTCACAGTAATATGAACTTAGGTTGATTTGTATTACTTCACACTAATATGAAATTAGGTTGATGTGTCTCACTTGGCACTAATATGAGCTTCGGGTTGATGTGTCGTACTTCACATTAATATAGGCCTTGAATCGATGTGTCTTACTTCACAGTAATATGAACTTAGGTTGATTTGTATTACTTCACACTAATATGGGCCTTAGTGGTTAGGAAATCTAATGAAGACTAATGCATGCTGATAGAAATGTTTGTGTATATACATATATATATATATATATATATATATATATATATATATATATATATATATATATATATATATATATATATACAGATGCATTATACAAACATTTCTTTCAGAATGTATTTGTCTGTGATGAGCAGATTTTGTACAACTACGCATAAAGAGTTCTGCATTAAAAAGTTTGATAATTTCTGACTCTAATAAATTTCAAAGTTTTTTTTAATTTATCAGATATATTTTTAGTGCATACCTTATTGTTTCTAAAAGCCTAAAACAAGAAAAGCCTAATCCTCCCTGCCCTTTCCAACACAACCATGATATAATGGGATCAATCCATTTTGACCATGTATATAGCTTCATTTTGTTTCTGGCTGTGATACAAATTGTTCCGAATTACCTCCTTTATTTATGCATGCATATGATATACCATTTCCAACCATAAATTTATAGCAATGTTAACAGTTATGGTCCCATAGTCTAGAGAATGTACATAAACATCATTGTGTGACACGAACTTAACATTACGGTACTGATTTGCAGATAGAAAAGTACAATTTAAAACTGATTCCAGGAAAAGATACAATAAACGAGATCTATGTTTGTAAAACAGGCATGTCCTCAGTTCAGACTAAATAAATAGATTCAGTGAATTTTTGTTTACTGTCTGCGATAGCAGGGCTAAAAAAAAATCCCAATAATAAAATGCATGACCTTGAACGCTTTGCTGTACAACTATTGAGCAGAAATGGAAAGCAACACAGTCTCAGTGCCTTGTCTTAAAGGGCATAAAGTGCAAAAAGTGGGTAAAGATAATCTGAAAGATTGATCCTCAAATCTCTTCTGACCATCATAATTCACTTTACATTTTTTTCATCACATTATCATATTGTTTCTCATGCTTGGCTTACCTTCCGTAAATTTGCGCCGAAATATCAACGAGTTCAACAATTTTGTCTTTAAAGGTGTTGTATTTTTTTATCATTTCAAACAAGTCTCATGTTACATTAGGCTGTATGGTGTAAATTACATTGGTCTATGATATATATTACATTGGTACATGATGAATACTACAACGTCGGCGTATAATGAACTTTACATTGGTGTATGTTATATGTTACATTGGTGTATGATGTAAATTACAATGGTATATGATGTATATTACACTGTTGTATGAAATATAATACACTTTTGTATGATGCATGTTACAGTGGTACATAGGAGTAAACAAATGGAAGTACCAGAGTAATTATTAACGTATATTGAATACTTTCCTGTCAGACGAAAAGCAAAGTCATATCGATTACAAAATTATATCGTTTACAGAATCATATCAATTACAAAATTACTATCGATAACACATTCCAAGACTGATAAAGGCACATCCCTGATTATTTTAAAAATAAAACTTGAAGGTTTCGTTTCAATTTGGTAAATACTACCTGGAGACAGGTAGTGTACACATAGTGATTAAGGATTCTTACTGTTTAGTACTTTGATTCGAATTAAACTCGTTTTTAGGAAAGTTTCAGTAAGTGCAAATGCTCTTTTCAAAGACCATTGCTATTGAACCACAAGCATTAGTGCATTGCCTATATAATAAACAACAATAAACGTCATTCAAATTCTTTGTACTAAATGACCATGTTGATATATCGGACAATAACATCAAGACTGCTCATTATCGACAATTTTCACAAATTTTTGCATGTGATAAGGCATTGGACTACTGCTTGTGAGTGACAAAAAATGTTTGTGGTGTTTTTATATGGTAACATTTAACGATCGCCTCAGTTATTTTAATATCTTAACCTTCCAATTTCGTCTTACCAACCACGATGTACCAAGAGAAACACGCGAAGACAACTTATCCATGATGGAATATTTATAATCCTCGAATGATTCTGAACGAAACTTAATAGTTCGATAGAACACAACGTTCTGGCGTGCATTAATGTTTCCGTTATGCGTTAAATTTACTTGCTGCTGGTGAAAATTAGACCATATTACATACTCAGCATAATTTAGAATGGAGACCAAATCAGTGTTAGTCAGTTGTTCAAGCAATATTTATCGTTAACCGAAAAATAGTAGGGGATATACCAAGAAAATAATGGATTTATAGGAGAGGCGCATTCTTGACATTGCTTACTGATTCGCCTGACTTTACAGGAGAGTGGCTATCATACAAGAATTCTAGATACTGCCAGCCTACGTGGATGTGAATTATAACAAGTCTTCCAAGAGAACAAATCTTCTAAAATCTTGGCAACATGTCTCCACTGTCCTTTTGCTAGCTGAAATGAGCTTTAAAAATGGTGTAACTCTTTCATCCCCTTTTAATAATACAGATGTTTGTGGTCAAGTCACCAGAATCTGATTCCAATGATTGGTTAACATAAAGGATATTTATGAATGGCGCAATTAATCTTTTACGTATGTTGATCAGTAAGAAAATTCAATGGCAAAAGGTGTACAATTTTTCATACAAATTTACAAAAATGAGTTTGTTTAGAAGAATATTTTATCTATAAATAAATATTTACAAGAAAATTATAACATATGTATATGGCTGCATCTCTGAACAGTTATTTGTTATTAATGCAGAAGTGTCACTAAAACACCCAAACGATTGAAACTGATTTTAAATGAACATGGTGCTTACCTGACCTACTTAACACGATAGTGGTCATCTCAAACATCTTTTTATTACTACTCATCTGGAATTTATGGTAACTTGAACATGAGGTAAACA